CAAATTTTTTGAAAAAAATGATTTTTTGGAAGTTCTAGACCTCGTACGGAAACAAAAATAGCACCATTCGATTCGCCGTGAAAAACTGCATCGGATAGACACCTTTTTAGGCCTTAACAACCAACTTCAAAATTTGACCTCACTTGACCTGACCTTGACCTGACCTCGACCTGAAATTCATCCAGAGGTGGTCCATATCACTTATTGAGTGTGCCTATTGAATTCCATGAGTAAAATGACCCATAAAACATGTGTCGCACATGCCCTTTTCTATATTTTGTTTTTGGTGACCTGACCTGACCTGACCTGACCTTGACCTTGACCTTTGAATGACATTGTGTGCAACGAATATTGTCTTGGTAGTCTAAGAACACGTTTTGGGCAATCAGTCTCAGTCCATTCTTCGGCAACTACGGTGCAAGGCCGATACTGTAGAAACTTGCATTTTGTACCCTTGACCTGACCTTGACCTGACCTCTGACCTACTTAAGCAAAAAATTTGGGCTCTTAAGATCCGCCTTGTTGAGAGCTTTCGATTGCCGTTTTCCCCGTCTTTCTACGACCATCGGTTTGGAAGTTAGACAGGGGGGGGGGGCAGAATCTGCCCCCCCAGCAGGGCGCGTATGGCTGAATAGCCCAGCGGGGCGCGGGTTAAAAGAGTTTACTGGCCAAAAACAAGCTATAATATTGCAGACCTTGGAGCAATACTGAAGACTGAAGAGCACGCTGAGCAGGATCATGCCAGAAAATGTTGACTGATGAGCGCATATTGATGTATTGGTATGAATATTGAATGATAACTTACAACAGCAAGATAAATTATTGCTAACTATCAAGTTAAAAATCTAGAATGAATGGACTTGGGCAGTTTTACTATGCTTAGATGCTATGCAGATTGTAATGTGCATCAGGTACTCAGTGTCTGGCAAATGAAACATGCGATCATTCCATTGCTACTGGAGGAGAAAGCTTGGATCACTAAATCCACTTTATGTTGATTTTGATGTTAATCATCACTGTATTTCTTGAAAAAAGGATTGTAGTAAAACTGTCAATGTGACAATCCATGCAGCGATGTGATCATATAATGTGTTCATAGTCATTTGTGATAGTGATTATTGGTCCAATATACAATGGCAAAGCTCTCAGTCTCAGCGTTTCTTCCTGTGGATGGCCAGCAGTGACTCAGAGCTTAGAAGCATTAGTTTTCTTCACAGGGCTGGGATAAAAAGTACTGAGGGTAATCTTCCACCAAGGAACTCTACTTTGACATGGTATGAGATGTACGCACAAGTAGGTAGTTGCTTAGTTCCTATAATCAGTATTTGTGTATGTTTAGTCGGGTTAGCTTAAGCTTAGATTAGATTGATAGTTTTTTAATTTGCCAAGTGTCCATAAAAATGTGACCTGAGCAATGAGCATACCTGACCAACCTGACAGCTGACCTAACCTCAATCATCACACATATTTGCAGCCTACCCAAGACCTGCACAGCAGTAGCACCCGCCACCCAGTTATATAGGTATAGGTACTCACCTTAACTCAATCTTACCTGCTAACCTTCAACTTGCCAAAAGTTAGCTCACATTGCCAAGCTGCATCCAGGGAAACAGTCAACTGAGGAACTGGCTCATTGGGTGGCTGGTCTGAGTCTGTGCATTTAAAGTGTTTCTTCTCTGAAGCTGCTCTGCACTGCTGTATGTCATGTTAGCTGCTCAGAAAATGTGGGAAATGATAACTAAGCTACTTAAGTGCTTTGTTAATGCTCGAGACAAGTACAGATCCTGCAGGGTACAGCTATGAGTTAGATGCTAGGTGAGTATTTATGTGCATGTGCTATTCCCTGTTTGACCATAGTAAGTATACAAACAAGCACAGGGTCACAGTTATATTCAATCTCCACATAAACATACAACAAAAACGGCCATATAGCCTAACTCCGAACACACCACAGATAACTTAAGCCTTTGTAGGCACAAAAATGTTTTGATTAACAGGACAGGTATACAATATATCCTCTGTCCTTGGGGGATCTTGCTGCCAAGTTGAGGTACGATGACTGAACTTCAGGATTGATCAACCTTTTCTTAGCCACTGCTTATATACGAGAAAGACCATATGCTTGTTTGTAAACAATTTAATGATTGATAAATAATGATAATGAAAAAAAAATTTAATGATTCACCTTCAATTCTGACATAAAGGCACAAATGAAATAGTTCCGTCTCCTTTTGGAATACACAAAGCAAAATATTTAATAAATTTTAGTGGATGGACAAGAGCAATTAGCATAGCTCTCCCCTCAAGTTAACTTCTGGCACTGATGAATATTTTGGACTCTTTTGACGCCTGGTTTCATACCAACGGCTTAAAAGTTAACACAGCTAAAACTGAGCTCATCGTTTTTGGCTCGCGCCAAAATTGCCGCAGCCTGGATCCCATCTCAATTCGGTTCCGTGAGGACACGATCCGTGAGGGCCCCACGGTGAGGAACCTTGGCGTGGTTTTCGACAAGCACCTCACCTGGGACGCTCACGTATCGGCCCTCGTCCAAAAATGCAACGGTATCCTCATTGGGCTGTCCCACGGCCACGTGCGTCACCACATCCCTTGTGAACTTCTGCCAACCGTGGTCAGCGCCTTGGTCCTCTCGCACGTCCGATATTGTCTCTCGGTTTATGGAAACGGGTCGGACAAAAACACACAACGCCTCCAAAAAGTTCTCAATTTTGCGCTGCGCGTTGTGTCCGGCCGAAGAAAATTTGACCACATGTCGGACGTGCGAGAGGAACTGGGCTGGCCTACCGCCCGTCAGTTGTACGAAATCCACTCTCTTAACTTCCTCCACAAAATACGCTGCACCGAAGAGCCGGATACTATGTCCTCCCAAATCCTGGCCAACTCTTCCCTTCGCTCACGCTCAACCCGGCGGGACACTGATCTGTCTCTCCCACGCGTGAGAACCGAAGCAGGGAGGCGGCGCCTGCTCTACAGCATAGCCCAGTTGTACTTACAACCGTCTGCCCCATGACATTAGACATCTCCCTCTGGGAGCTTTTAAACGCTCTGTTTCCGAGTTGTATCTGCGTGATTAAGGATGAATGTGTGATTTGAATTGTGTTCTGTTTGATGTGATTGATGAGTGTATCTTAACTTGTTTTTCTTTTTAACCGTGACGCGACACTCGGAATAGCCATTTTACTGTGGAGAGTGTTTTAACTGTCAAATACAAATACAAATACAAATACAAATTACACTGACGCTTTTTCGCTTCATATTTTGTAACAAACGCGCTAAAACTTCAATATAACAGCACTATATGCTTCTTGACAAAATGCAAAAGTAGTAAAAATTTAGCCCCGATGGCATTCATTCTTGGTGGAAACGTAATTACAAAATATTTTGAGGTAACTATTAAATTCCGGCCGAAAACAGTGCACGGTTTAAAAAAGAATCATTCCAATGACGGTCCATTCTTGCGGTCCTGAAATTGCCACTATTTCCGGCCTCTCCAACGCAACTCGTTGTCCAGACGTAAATATGCAGCTAGGAACAACCTAATGGCACCATCGTGATCCTCTCGTCAATCCGCATCGAAGCATATATGTGGTGACCTCGAAAAGTCAAGGTCAAGGGTTGACCTCAGGTCACGTGAGCTCAAGGTCATCATGCATATCATTCGATGCGCCTTGACGAGCTGAACACAATGAGACCATCCGCGCGGCTGTATCTAGTTCCTGTAAGGAATTAAGGAGAAGCGCTCCGATGTTGTCCGTGGTCTGGTAAATATGTACTGACTGCTGGCTAAATGCTATGCTAAAGCTAAATGCTAAATATGCTCTCCTAGCAGCCTGAGTGGTTTAGACATTTCGTGGAAACGCTACTTACAACACAAAGCGCATTCACTATTTACAACCTTTAGGGCCACGTGCAGCATTGCGTGAGGTTTAATGAATCAGCAGCTTCTCTGCCGCAGTCATAAAAGCAAAGGAACGTGTTAAAGTTGACGATTGATGTTTTTCAAGAAGTGAACAATGTATTTCATATCCTCAAGTTAAACTTCAAAATTGGTAGGGAACCAGTTGTAAAGGCAGCCCTAACGTTGTTAGGGCTGTAATTGGTAACGCCGAGCTTCATATTATCAATAAATATATCGTGCATTCCAAATTTCACATATATCATGCAAAAAGCCAGTTTCCTCCTTTCCCAAGCTGTGTCACAGCCGCGTGTGCAATAGGCTATCGTTGTAGGATACTCGCGCCGTTTGAAGGTCAGGTGGGCGCGTGCCGTGGAAATCCGGTTGATGTAGCCTGACAACTTCCCAGCTGGTTACCGGCTCTAGCACCTGACCAGACGAGACTATCCCGGAGGAAGTATAAAAGTGAGAGTCAGGCACTTGGAGCACTACACTCTGTTCAGGATCCGACAAAATGAAGACGGTGTGTTCTCTTCTCTATTCTTCGTTGTGCTTTAATACTAATTTGCATGTCTGTGTTCACTTAGTGAGAATGGTGCCGATTTTCGTACCGTGTGGATGTATGATATTCTTCATCACCCTGCATCGCATGATTCAAGGGATTTTCGCGGATGAAAACAATTATGGATAGAAAGCATAAGGCAATATTTATTTAAAAGCAGTGTTAAGTATCAATCTTGCCACGATATAAATCTTCTAATGGGTCTATCCCACAGCACCACTTAACCTCTGTGCTGTTATTGCAGATCACGTTGAGCGTGTGTGCCCTGCTCGCGGTACTCCATCCAACGTAAGTAAAATACTGAACACCGTTAATGTGACCAAAAAGACGACCAAAGTCAGTGACAGGTGCCTTTGTACAGGCTATTCGAGATGAAATATAGCCGCACATAAGACATTCCTTGTAAAAAGTTCTGTTATAACAACGTTATATCATTAGCAACCACATATATTTTGCAATTGATTTGAACTTTAAAAGATTAACTCAAGCTTGAAAAATTGTTTTCGTGTTTTAGGACAACTCATGGCGTAAATAAACCAAAATCCATGTCGTTTCAGGTTGGCGACGTTTGGCGGCGGCGGCGGCGGCGGCGGCCATAAGGGCAAAGGCGGCGGCGGCGGCGGAGGAAGCTACTACAAAGTGATTGGCTCCTTCGGCGGCTACGACCACGGAGGCTACGGCCATGGTGGCTACGCCCCGATTCACGGCGGCTACGCCCCGATTCACGGCGGCTACGCCCCGAGCCACGGCGCCGGCTACGGCCTGGGCCACGGCGTCGGCTACGGCCTGGGCCACGTCACCTACGCCCCGACCCACGGCGTAGGCTACGGTCTGGGCCACGGCGCCGGGTACGGCCATGGCGGCTACGGCGGCCAGAAGGGCTACGGCGTTCAGAAGGGCTACCACACGGTCATCATTGAAGAGATCAAGGGCGGCCAGGGAGGTGGCAAGGGAGGCCACAAGGGAGGAAAGGGAGGAAAGGGCGGCGGATTTGGTGAGGGTCACGAGTTTGTCGGTCTGCTCCGCCCCAAGGTGCATCATTACCACAGCTATGGAGCTCCCATTGTAGCCGGATATGGACACGGTGGTGGATTCAGCGGTGGATATGGCGCTGGCCACGGAGTTGGATATGGTGGATTTCCCGTTGGACATGGCGGATTTGCCCCTGGATATGGTGGACATGTTGTGAGCCAGCCAATTGTGTATGGAGGCGACAGTTATGGTGTTTATTAGCCTCATAATTGGCAATCTGTGCGTTTGCTGATTGAGTCACATTGTTGCCGTTAATTGTTGGTGCTCATTGCTCATCACACTGTTAATGTTTATTTTGCCGTTATGCTGTTGAAGTGTCAGTGCGTCTCTGGAGTTTCAATGACAATACATGCCGTGAAATGAATCACGCTACGACCTTTATACCTAATGCAGGGTGATTATAAGCCGTTTTTACGACGGGCTGTCTGGCGAATGCACCTAATTTGACCAAATCTGCACCAGATCTCTTCTACAGCAAATATTTTCATATCATGAATTTATTTCAGTGTTTTAATTGATAATAATGTCTGATAATTTGACAAAGCAGGTATATAAGCAATTAGTGCAACCCTAGCTGATAGTTAGGTAGGAACTAAGAAACACAGTGAACCTAATCTGACCAAATATGTACCTAATTTGGCCACATTTGCATCTAATGTGCACCAAATGTGCACCAGATGGCCGTCATGAAAACAGCTATCGTCACAAATTAAGCAGGCGATGTTGTCAAAAAAATCAACTTAGATTCTGGTATTACGGGTTCTTGCATGTAATGCGTAGGCAATACCACAAAAATGGCACGTAAATACGACGAAAAGGCAAATTTTGTGTTGTCTTCTCGATTTTCATCCCAAACTGAGCTAAGTGCAAGCATATTCAATGACTGTGCTAAGGATTGGCATCCCTTGTTGGTTTATGCATAAATGTAATTGGTTTCGACCGATCCATGGGTGATTTATTGACAAATTGGACAGCAGAATCTATAATCTATGATCCTATTGGCTCCCTGACATGGTATATTCTACCTTAACATGATGCTACGGCTTTCATCATCGTTTAATTTTCGTGTTTATCAATTTGGCACATTTCCCTGAAAATTTCACGACAATGACCCAAATGACCTTTGACCTGTGACCTCTTCTCGAGACCATAGCAATGCGACGTGTCAGTGGACAGCGCACATTGTCGGCATGCGTTTCCGTACTTTTTGTGATTTGAAACGTGCGTACCAGTGAAATGAGAGGCATTTGTTCCATGGATTGTAATTGCTGTAAAGGTCACCCGAGCTGTGAAGGTCAGATCAAAGTCATTGATTGACCTTAGACTTCAACTTTGCTTTGTTACGTTTCGCTACTTTTCAGGTGCAAGAAGACACCATTTGTTTGTGAAACGTGCTTTCATGTTTTCAAAATGTCATAACAATGTCATGACAGATGACTTTCTCTTTCATTTCTCTCTCTCTCTCTCTCTCTCTCTCTCTCTCTCTCTCTCTCTCTCTCTCTCTCTCTCTCTCTCTCTCTCTCTCTCTCTCTCTCTCTCTCTCTCTCTCTCTCTCTCTCTCTCTCTCTCTCTATCTCTCTTCTCTCTCTCTCTCTCTCTCTCTCTCTCTCTCTCTCTCTCTCTCTCTCTCTCTCTCTCTCTCTCTCTCTCTCTCTCTCTCTCTCTCTCTCTCTCTCTCTCTCTCTCTCTCTCTCTTCTATCTTCGTATAACTACGTAATTGTTTTCCGCCTTATCCCGCATCGAGTGAGGAAGGTGTTAAACACCCCAATGCGGTTTTACGTAACTTTTTGCCTTCTCGAGGCTAAACCGTCTATCTTAGGTCAAATACATATGAGGGCTTATTCCAGAAAGAAAACGTTAGAAGAATCATCTAATGCGCTTTTCCGCGGTACTGAAGCTCTATTCCTTCATGATTTATGCGCCGATTTATGCATCAAAAATGTTTAAATAGGCAAAATTTGACCTTTGATGACCTCTGGTGACCTGACCTTTAACCTTTGACCTGACCTAAAAATGTCCAAAGTGCTCCTTTCAAGATTTTGATGCTCCTTCGAATGCCGCCTACTCCTTGTCGATACGTGGCCCAGGAGCCGAGTTAGACGGGGGTGTTCAAACGGGGAGCATTCATTCTGCCCAGGGTTCATAATGTCCAGGGTACGATATGCCCAGTGTCGAAATGGCCAGTGCCTTGAATGGGCCAGAGTTCATAATGTCCAGGGATTGCATGGTCCAAATGAGGCCAACTGGCCGCAGATGGGGTATATCCAAAGAGGCCAGGGTTCATAATGTCCAGGGCACGATGTGTCCAGTGTTCGAAATGGCCAGGGTTCATAATGTCCAGGATTGTCCAGCTTCGTGCAAAATATGATGTTTAATTCATGATGTATTCAAATCAGGTAAAACACAACAATAACAACATCGGCAGTGAACAGATATCTACTCCGCAAACAATAATACCTACACAAAAAAACCAACAGTTCACTACTTGTCAATCGTTGTGCTTGTTAGTAAGCACCGTAACTGTCGCCTCCATACACAATCGGCTGGCTCACAACATGCCCACCATAACCAGGGGCAAATCCACCATGTCCAACGGGAAATCCACCAGTGCCATATCCAGCGCCATATCCACCGTGTCCATATCCGGCTACAATGGGAGCTCCATAGCTGTGGTAATGATGCACCTTGGGGCGCAGCACGCCGATGAATTCGTAACCCTCACCGAATCCGCCACCCTTTCCTCCCTTTCCTCCCTTGTGGCCTCCCTTTCCACCGCCCTGGCCGCCCTTGATCTCTTCAATGATGACCGTGTGGTAGCCCTTCTGAACGCCGTAGCCCTTCTGGCCGCCGTAGCCGCCGTGGCCCAGGCCGTAGCCGCCATGGCCGTATCCGCCATATCCGTAGCCCTTGGCGTAGCCTCCCCCGCCGTGGCCGTAGGTGCCGTACGAGCTGATGACCCTGTAGCGACTCTTCTGGCCGCCGCCGCCCTTCTTGCCACCGCCGCCGCCTCCGAAGGTGCCCACACTGAAAGAGACGATCGAGATTACTGATGTGAACATGCATCGTGATGCGTCTTTTTCTCTCTTACCGGGATATTTTTACTAGCACGCCTATTGACATGCAGACTGTGGGACAACAAACATCTAAACACAAAGAATGCTACTAAAATTATAATCATATCGGTGGGAATAGATGCATGCACACTACCCGAATCACTACAGGTAAATTTTGTTCTCACTTCTCCATGAAAAGATGATGCCCTCCCATAAGTGGAGCTTCCCCAAGGAAGTTGGTGGGGCAAAAAGTCGTCAAACCTATAATGTCTGATTGTTAAGTTAGATAAAGTGCAACATTTAATTTTTTCATTACAGAGATCATATTTTGTACTACATAGACATTTCAAAGCTCCTCACTGCGAAAAGGTTGGTTTGCTAAGCAACAAAGTCCTATAAATCAGCGTAGGTTGGTGGGGCAAAACGTTTATTGGTGGGGCATGATGGCATGATGGGTGGGGCGGGTGGGGCACCCGCCCCAACAACTGAATAGGAATAGCTTCGCCCCTGCCCCCCCCCCCCGTCCCCCCGAAATACTATGTATGCTGACATATCTAAATGTTCGCTTAGTTTCGGGCTTTCCTGCCAAAAAAAAAATGACGCATTATTTACTTACGTTGGGTGGAGACAAGCCACGATAACGCAAAGGACCACGGCAATCTGAAACAAATTGGGCGAAAAAGATAAGACACGCAGTTGTATACCAATGCAATGAATGCATGCACGCATTTAAAGTGTTTTTTTTTTTCTCTCGCACGTAGTCGTATATTCATTCAGATTCATCATTCCAATCAATCTAATTTGCGTGGCCCGAACGTTCAAATATGTGCGTATAACTCAAAGCACGAACAGGCTTGGGGTAAATTTCGTTCTTGCTCGGTCGTGCGTATGCTAAGAAGCAGTTCACGGCGCTTATTCTCTGTCGCATGGGCGGGAGGCCACGTCATTGGCAAGGTAATGTCCACATGCCGATGCCTGAATAAATTTATTAGATGAATTTGAATGCATTTGACAAAGTAATTTTCTCGAGAAGAAAATCCGACCGAAATTGGACGCTTCCATGCGTCACTTTGGGTACGTCAAGCTCCCAAGCTGGCACCATAAGACGGCCAGTACAGTTAACTATATGCCCATTGAATACGGTCGCATCCAGCGACAAGACATCCAGTGCCGACTTCCAACATTCCAATACCGATTTCCAACATTTCGACAATGCCGAAATGTTGTTCGCACTGTTAGTTTAGCCAGCTCGCTTTAGGGCTCACAAAATCACACCACCCAACTCCGTGGGGCACTCTCGCTCAGACTACACTACACACTCCTGAAAAGCACACTTTCCACCACAGAGTTCGACTCGACTCTTCGCACCTTCATCGTGTCGCTTGCTGAACGGAATGCGGTGGCCCCAGACCTGGCGTTCCTCTTTTATACAGAGGTGCAGTGAAAACGTGTTAGATCTGAGATACAAGCTAGGACCACCGGTTCATCGCGACACTCGGCAGAGCCGGTCCGATCATCCAGTTGTGCCGTAATGTCACGCGGCTTCCTCAACAGGTACACGGAGGAGGAACTGGCAGGGGTACCGGTTGTTGTTGAGATGGGAAGTGACCTTGACCTGCTAGCGACTGAGACGTCAGCAGAGCCAATGAGACATATGACCCATTCACTTTTAAAAGGAATAAATGGCTCACTGGTGCGCTATGTGAAAATATATACATTTTCATTGTGAAGTATTTTCCCTGGACATTATATGCACATATATGGAATCGGTCATAGAATTCGAATCGGTTGATTCGGTATTAGGCATCAGTAGGCAATAGGCATATATCCGTATACCTAAGCCAGTTACGAGACAGATCGTCAACAGATAAATATCATCAGGAAACAGCGTTCAGAGGGAAACTACAACAGTGAGCCTACAACAGCGAGCTGAGAAACATCAATGCTTTTCTTCGACCTGACCTTATTGACCTGTGACGCCATTATTACACTCCGAAGTATTTCTTCTTCAAAGACATTTGAACGGACTGCAAAACCCCGTTCGTACGTGCAAAACAGTCCGGTAGTTTCGAAGCTCAGAAAAATGACCAAAGGACTTTCCCAGCTATGTTAACTATGAAGAGAAATTGCTTAATAGCGTTGTGATGCGTAGTATAATCTTACTTAGGTATATCTTCTATAAGAAGATTGGTAAAGTATTACCACGGAATATAGTCTATGACAGTCGTACAGTCGACAGTCGACTACGACTGTCGTAGACTATATATTCCGTGGTATCACAAAAATCTCTCGCTAATAACTGTTGACACCACCACAAATAAACCACTCGAGCAGCATTCCGACCTGCCATTCCCGGTACTTGTTTCTCCATTAGTCCGGTGCCCAGACGGACAGGTTTCTCGTGAGCTGTGAGTGTCTCACTTCTCACTCACTCAGTCTGCCAGTTAGACCGGATTTGGCCTGTTGTACGGCCTTGGAAGGGCACCGATGGAGCTGGAGGACGGCGAACCGGATAGATACGCCGTATACGGGGGTAGGCAGTACGGCCAGCTGATGAAAGAGACTGCAATAGATCCTGTTTCCACCGTCTACTAGCCTTGGCGGCATTATGGGCAGGGGGCGGACTGTCTATCGTGTCATGTGTGGCTTGCGAGAATCAATCCATCGTTTAGGTGCCGTTAACTTTTTTGTACTTAGTTATAGTGGAAGCTCACTGAATGAACATGAGGCTCACCGGATATAACATGCGTCATGAGATTAGTGCTCAGCATACGGTGGTCTAATTTGGTCACGGCTCATACAAAATAAAAAGTTTGCTTTCGTTTGGACAATCTTGATTTGGACATCTTTGATTTTACTTATCAGCATTTTGCCTTGTTCACAATTTAGGCTCTGGCCGCCGGCTTACAAATAAAATCACGCTCATTTTTTCTTTACGCACTGCTTGGTATATGCCTGAGATATCCTAAGGGTACCGAACTTGTAATTCGAATCTTTCAGGTTAAGGCCAGGGGCCGTATTCACGTCGGTTTCGTAAGTCGATTTTCTTTCGTAAGTATACTTTGGTATTCACGTCGATACTTCTTAACCCTCGCCGGCACAGGGGGGGGGGGTTGATGCAACCCCTAAGATTTTTCGCAAATAACTCGCGTAAAAATCGGCCGATCGCAACGAAACTTTCAACACCCTCGCATTGATCAATTTTACACCTACCCTGAAAATTTCATGACCCTGACCCAAATGACCTTTGACCTGTGACCTCTTTTCCAAGACCATGTTTGGCCGGAATCGCGATTCGGCGTTTGCCGGCTCGCATTAGCCGCGTGTTTGCAAGCTTTTCGTGGTTTCAAACGTTCAAACATGTGATTTGATGTTGCTCCCATACATTAGGGCGGGTGTAAGGGTCACCTGAAGGTCAGGTCAGGTCACTGACCTTTGGTGACCTCGGGTGACCTCGGCTCACTTTTTCGAGTTTTACATGTTTCTAGGCTAGTTTTTGGAGCTGAATTCGAATTAAGCAACCATTTGAGCATTTACGAAGTAGTTTTGGTGCCTTCGTAACATGTTACGAAGCTGTCAGAGGCGGTTGACATGTATTACGAATACCCGTCACAACCCCTACCGGTTCACCTGACCTGACCTAACCCGACCTGGTCCAAATGCCTAAAGACATCACCTCTGATCAAAACTAACACGATATTCGTGATCAGCACCCCGGAAAACCACATAGCAGCCACACTTTACGACTTTCTAACAGGTCCCGATTTTCGGGTCATTGCATTGACCGGGTTTTGTAAACGCACGTATCGAGGTAATTTTGTGTCGAATGCTAAACAGTGATTGGCGATTGGCGAATATATTCCATAAGTGTCAGACATTGAGTACTTTGAAGTCAATGTCAGCTAAAAAGATAACTGTTTCAAAAATTATGAATTGTTTGGAGATGCCTTGCATGGCAGTGGACTTGTGTGGCCTTTGGCGATGATAGTGTGTGGCCGTGGGGGGGGGGGGGTGAGGGGCGGGGAAGAGTTGTGACGAAATGATGATTGATGAAGTGATGAAATGGCGAAATGTTGTGTAATGTGGTGTATGCTTTATGCGTGCAATGTGTCGCTTTTTTGTGCCAAATTCACGCACAAAAGTTAGGGAGAAAAGCGGAAAGGTGGCACGCAGTTTGACAGACTGTGCAAATGTGCAACCAAGTATGGGGCCCAGTGACTCTTTCTTGTACTGCAAATTTATGTCTTTATGTCTTATGTCTAAAGCTAGGTGTTAACATGTTTTACGACGCATGTTGTCCGGCTGGTTTTCGTTATATAGGCTGGAGACTTCCAGTTTGCGGTTAACTCGCGTTTATTTTGGTGGCTAACTTCCTTACACGCGTGTAGCTGCCCACCAACTTTTACCCGGTGACTTCCATCCGCGGTTAACTGGTGGGTAGCTACACGCGTGTAAATATTTAAATGCCGACTTACACGCCAGTTTAAAGGGCTTCCCGATCAGCTGATCGGGATGCGGCGATCAGCTGGTCCAATGAACAAGTGCGTAATTCCGTTATTTATGGGGCCGGTGGCCCCCAATCAGCGTTTTTACACATGCAATGAGTACAGCCGTAACAATGGGATGTGGTGATGCATTAACCTAACCAGAACAGCGTTTGAAGCCGTGCCAATCAGCATCAATAATGCTAATCGCCTTGTGTTATTTCACTCCGTATGGCCGACCGCCGGTCTACTGCATGATCTTGCAACAGCCGTATCTCAGATTACTCGTCTGCCCTCGTCGGTTCGTCTCCGTCACCCCCCGTCCTCACCCCCGCCCCGTCACTTCACCGGTGAGGCGTCGTCGGTGTCCAATTCAATGCCACACAAAGGACGATTATCACCGAGTGATCAGTTTAATATGTGCGTGTCGCGGGGGTGGCTGACGTTCCAACGGCGCAGGATCCGGTTCACCACCAGTGCCCATTTGCTGCCGTTTAAACCGCTAATAGTTCTTTCTGGCCGTCCTTTTCATATCTCTCCAGAGCTGTGTCAGAGCTTTCTAGTCCCATTTTTCTACTGACCTTGCATTACAGGCTGTAACAATGTTCTTCCAAGACCGTTTTCGTTCTTCATTACTCCTTCCATCGTGTCGCTTATTTTCGATGACTTTTACTTCAGTCTTCATGACATCGGCTAACAAATGCATGTCTCTACTACTGAAATTTCTGCTCCTCTTCTTCCTGTCCATGGTTGTTGACCGGTCACTCGTATTGCTTCCACTGAGCTGGTCCTCGCCCCACTGACACGTAACGCGAAGTGCGACGACAGGGGCCCGACACTAGCTGGCTGGCTCGACGATCACATTATTGCGGATGCGATACGAATCCCATCTCACTATCCCGAATATTACGAAATAGCAGCTGGTGGCAAGGAGATAGGTGCGATGGAAATAGACTAATACCTCCGCATTTGAAAATTTGAGTCCTACATCCTCAATTCTGTCAACTCAAATATTGCTCTGATTACTCATGTATGACTTGTTGAAAACATCTGGATACTTGCAGTGATGAAATACGTAATTTGTAACCCCTCAACAAGCACAGAGGCCAGTTTAACCAACAGAAAAATAGACGCCTGGCGGATTTTTTTTTTTTTTGCCTGAAGACCGTTTCACATACGGAGTGTAAACGCGATAAGCACGTAAGCGGATAGGGCTTTACCGCTCTCGATCCGTATGTGAATCGGCCTTTAGGCGAAAAATTCCGCCAGGCGGCTATTTTTCTGTTGGTAAAACTGGCCTCAGTAGTCAGTACTATGAAAAGGTGACCTCAACTTCGTCTAATCTTAGCAGCCGAACGGCTAGGCCGAACTGGCTGAAAAGGCCAGAACTAGATTATTGCACTATTGTCTATCACTTGCACATAAAATTTGCACAGAAATAAACTTTTAAAACCCCCTAAGGACCAAAAAAAGCACCACCGAAAAGATACCCGCGAACTTAATACATGGGGTGGCTCGCGTGTAAGTTCCTTCGCTAACTTAGCGAACAAACTATTTACCCGCAGATGGAAGTCTCCGGGCAAAGTTACCCGCCGACTTAAACGCGAGATAAACGCCAACTTACCCGCAAACCACTTACACGCGACTTACCCGCGTGTGGAAGTCTCCAGCCATAGAAATTGATGAAAGTATTGCAGCAGAAAGACCATGCATTGCGACTGCGAGGAAAGTTGAGCTCTCACTCAAGCTCATGGATTTTCGATAACCGACTCTTATCCCCCATGAAGGCTTACGAAGCACAAATACTAAAACTGAAAACAGATGCATATTCCAGCCTACACAATCTAAGCGCAAGCTTTCACTGATGCCCTGAGCAGTGACGGGACTGTATCGACCGTCTGCCGACGGCTCATAATGCGGGCCCCGGTCCGCCGTTCTGCCGATCGCTCACAGTGCGGGCCCGGTCCGACCGTCTGCCGACGGCTCACAGTGCGGGCCCCATTCCGACGTTCTGCCGACCACCGCTCACAGTGCGGCCCCGGTCCGACGTTCTGCCGACCGCCGCTCACAGTGCGGCCCCGGTCCGACGTTCTGCCGACCGCCGCTCACAGTGCGGCCCCGGTCCGACGTTCTGCCGACCGCCGCTCACAGTGCGGCCCCGGTCCGACGTTCTGCCGATCGCTCACAGTGCGGCCCCGGTCCGACGTTCCGAGCCGGTCCGTGATGATAGCGGGCGTAGCCGGCGGTGTGCAACGCTCTCCGGCCGGCCGAGCACGAGCGGCCACATTCACTGCCGGACGGGTATTGCCGAACACTGTTACCCGCCCGGTCAGTCGGTCCTTCGTATATATAAGCCAAAGGTCGTCTGCAACTGGGCGTCAATCCGAGCGGCAACATGAAGACGGTGAGAGCTCCGCACTGCAGCCGCTGCCGAACGGCACGCCTCCTATCTGCATAGAACTTTACTTTGAATGAGCTTACGTTTTAAACTCATCGTATCCATGAACCAGTGAACATATTCGATAGTGATATTTTTCGTGGATATAATCATAGTTTAGTAAAGAAGTCAACATAGATTTAGAAACAATTATGCTGTAATAATGCTCCAAAGTCCCCTGAAGTGTCCTAGAAAAATATCATTCTTATGAATAGCCTTTATTTATACCAGAACTTTAGCTATATACTCGTTGCAATTGACCCCAGAAGAAAACCATTGCAGCTATTCATGTATCTTCCGCCATTCATGACCCGAGCGTCTTTGTCTTTTCAGATCACGCTGACCCTGTGCGTCCTTCTCATGGCTGTCCACTCCAGGTCAGTATTTACCTCGAAAGATCGAATCTCGGAATAGACGGTCATCTTTCGATTGCGGTCGATTGTGTTTTTTCACCCTGCTTCTAAACGAGTAGCTTCAGAAGCTGAAGTAACGATTATAGCTGCACCATGTTTATTTGGTGCACCTGCTTAACTTGTTTTCCTATTTCGCTTTGACATGGGAAGACCATCTGTCATCTTATTTGTTTCACGTTTCAGAGATTAATTATTGATACCGAATTGAGCTCATTAGCTGTATTCAACGATTACCTAACGGCAATTATCTTTTTGCAGTGTGGGCACCTTCGGAGGCGGCGGCGGTGGCAAGAAGGGTGGCGGCGGCCAGAAGAGTCGCTACAGGGTCATCAGCTCGTACGGCACCTACGGCCACGGCGGGGGAGGCTACGCCAAGGGCTACGGCTACGGCCAGGGCGGCGGCGGCGGCGGCTACGGCCAGAGCCACGGCGGCTACGGCGGCCAGAAGGGCTACGGCGTTCAGAAGGGCTACCACACGGTCATCATTGAAGAGATCGAAGGCGGACGCGGCGGTGGCAAGGGAGGAAAGGGAGGAAAGGGAGGAAAGGGCGGCGGCTTCGGTGAGGGTTACGAATTCATCGGCGTGCTGCGCCCCAAGGCTCACTACGGCAGCCAGATCGGCGGCGGATACGGACACGGTGGTGGATTCAGCGGTGGATACGGCGGCGGCTTCGGCCAGGGATTCCGTGGTGGATACGGCCGTGGATTCAGTGGTGGATACGGCCAGAGATTCGGCGGTGGATACTAGATCTACCACTGGTTCGTTTCCTTGTCGATTGGGAGCAAATTATAACGGGAAGTTTTGTTGTGCATACGATGGGTGCGTGCCACACTGCTATTAAGCACTGCCATCAGTACGGAAGTGTTTTGTGTTCTTTGTTGTGTGTGAATCGCCTAGTCAGCGCCGGCTCGTTTTGTTGTTGGATGAAGTTGTAACAGAGCATACTTGTTGATTGGTGTTATGCATGATCAACAAAAGTTTTGTTGAACTGCCGATGCGTGATGTTTTAACAATAAAACACAAAATATATCCCACATTTTTCCATCGTAGACGGATCGGCGGCTGCTAGAAAAAGAAAAAAAGAAAAGGAGAATAAAGAAGGGAGAGAGAGAGAGAGAGAGAGAGAGAGAGAGAGAGAGAGAGAGAGAGAGAGAGAGAGAGAGAGAGAGAGAGAGAGAGAGAGAGAGAGAGAGAGAGAGAGAGAGAGAGAGAGAGAGAGAGAGAGAGAGAGAGAGAGAGAGAGAGAGAGAGAGAGAGAGAGAGAGAGAGAGAGAGAGAGAGAGAGAGAGAGAGAGAGAGAGAGAGAGAGCAAATAAGAAAAGAATAAGATTCCCGCCTATGAAATGTGTATAGTTCTCGGACGACATAATTTTGTTTTTATATGCTTTTTTTGGTGCAACAGATTTATTTTCAAACATTGTTTATCTTGAAGATAATGTCTTCCATCATAAAACTAAGTCGACCTTATTGGAAATACGTGATGCAGGGTGTTGTATATATTTTGTATGTAATAACGCAGAAATCACGACAAAATATCAGTTCATGGCTCCAAGAAATGGCGCAGCAAAACGTTGAGTCTTCCCAATATGTAGAAATAGGGTCAATCTTCATGCAATATCGTCACTGGCTGCCCTAGCGTTCTAAAAGCTTCTTCGTACAATAAGTAAGGGATTAGGGGCACTATATCCTGCGCAGTTCTCCATGAACATGTACACACAAACCGTTGACTGTGAAGTGTGACGCGTATAGCCTCGTTTGGCTGCATCAGTCAGGATTAAAACGGCTAGTGATTCCGGACGGCGGATTACGGTTATAATCGGCCACGTCCAAGCTGGAGACGTATAAAGTGGTAGGCCGTCCGCCCATGGTCAGTTGCAAACAGTGCAGCAGCGAACACGGTAAGAACTGTTGTGGGAGCGCTTGAGCGTGGATAACTATTGTTACTGTGGATAATTATTCACTTCATTGCACGTCAACTTATTAATATTGCATTTTTGTAGGTACGTTTAGGCTCCGTGTCGGAATGGGTGCATACGTAGGCGCAAAATAAATGGAACACTTTCGCAAATGTTAACCCGAGCTCTCTACCTTTCAGATGACGAGGCTATTCTCGGTTTGTCTTCTGCTGGTCTTTAGCTTTGTGTAAGTACACATAGCAACTTATATCCGCGTATTATAACAGTCGATCCGTATTGTTGAGATGTGCACATGCTTTTGAAGCCGTTTCGTGCGTTTGTAAAACGTCAATGCATGAAACCCGTTGGTTATTTTTTTTCAGGAAGTCACAAATTAGACGAAATTCACGATTTAACTACTGAAATTGATATTTAGGTTTCTCACCATACGAGACAAAGACCCGGCGACCTCACCTAAATGACTGGCACTATTTTTTTTTTATTAAATACTCTATCTCCCTCTCTCTCTCTCTCTCTCTCTCTCTCTCTCTCTCTCTCTCTCTCTCTCTCTCTCTCTCTCTCTCTCTCGGTCTGTAAGGTCCTTTTCATCCCCATCTGCCTGCATCTGCAATATGGCACCGCCACCGACCCAACAATGACCGCCCTGCTCCTCTGCAGACTGAGCCCCGCTCTCGGCCGGCCCAGTCAGCGACACCGGCACGGTGCCGTGGTCAGTGACGCCAACGGCGGCGGACTGGGGCCGGACGGAGCCGACCCGGCTCTGTTCGGAGCCACCGGCGGCTTCCGAGGTGGCCAGGTGGGAGGATTTGCTGCCGACATTGCCGCAGGACATGTGGAACAGATCGGTGACGGCTACGGAGGACTGCTCGGTGGTGTAGATGGAGATGTGGTCGGAATTCCGTCCTCGATCTCCGGAAGGAGTTAAAATGAAACGAAGCAGCTGTGAGGGCTGAAGTGACTGGATGGTTGTGGTCTGTATTTATCGAATGTGTTTAGGAATGTGTATAGTGGTTTGTTGACATTTCTTAGCGCGGCATTAGTGAAACAATGCTTTATTGGAAAATAATATACGGCTTCCAAGTTCCGACTGATAAACTCGAAGAAATTTCACACGTTCAGATATCACATGAGATACGACGTTGCAATCCCGTTCCCAAGCCGTCACCCAGTTCACATCTAATCGGAAATTGATCGAGACATTTGGAGCGATTGCCAACACCGCTGCAGTCAGTTGCAAGTGCTACTGCGGCGCTCCCCACATTTCGCGTGGCGTCGGGAGAGACCCGAGCTACCCGGTGGGACTGTGCAGTCAGCTCCAGCCACGGACTGGCCAAACCGGCAGATCCAGCCGACCCAGAGAGCTGTAACACCGGGTCAACCGGACGGTCCGCGTGCGCCCCCAACCGCACGCGACAGAACGCCGCTCGGTGGAGAGGGGAGGGGCAATGTGGGGAGAGGTGTGGCCCTGCAACGACCTTGGTAATTGATAAGTACTATCTCCCGAGCTATTGATTTTAGAACAAAACTGGTAAAAGTGACTGATCTGTCGTAATTATGCATGCACGTGAATGAGATGGCAGCGAACCGTGTGTATAGGTACTTTCTTATGCATTACGCAATGCAGCGGTAATCCGTGGTCTGTCATAATGTTCCGACATGAGTTCTGTAACTGGCATTTTTGAAGGGTGAAGTGAGAGTAAAGATGATCTCGACCTGATGCCGCGGACTGGTGACGTGCGTGTGAGTGGCGAGAAATACCATGCGGTTGGAATAAACGTGTTTAACCCGCGCCCCACTGGGGTCTGTGTATAACACGCCCTACTGGGGGGGGGGGGGGCTATTCATAGCCCCCCCTCCTAACTCCGAAACTACTGGGCCGATCGTCAAAATTCAAACGGTGTCTGATAGCCCCGGAAAAACTGTCGAGCGAAACCTAATTTCATTGACCTCGAGGTCACCGATGACGTCACAGGTCAGGTCAAAGTAAAAATTATTAGCACTTTGGCTTGTTCACATTTTGGGCTCTGGCCGCCGTCTTACAAGGCAGATCAGGCTCATTTTTGGTTTCCACACTCGTGAACAGATGCTCTAGATACCTTGAGGGTACCAAACTTGTACTTTGATTTTCAGGTCAGGGTCAGGTCATCACAGGTCACGAAAATATTATATCATGCGTCGGTCACGTGACACATGTTTTATGGTCCATTTAGACCATAGATTTCGAATTTGATGTCGTCTGTGTCATTCGAGGTCATTTTGAGTCGAATTTAGCTTAGGTCAGGTCACTTTCAGGTCAAAAAAGGTCAAATTTTGAAGTTAAAATTTTTCAACAAAAAAGGTGTCTATTGGATGCAGTTTGAGCTCAGGAACACGATGGTGCCATTTATATTGATGTACGATGTCAAATACGTACTGAAAAAGTGATTTGAAAAATTAATAATTGTGAATTTTTTGCAATAATGCGTATAACTTGGCCATTTTTGAAGATATTTAGCTAAAACTTGCTAGAGTTAGTCATAATCATGCGTTCTGTCACATATATTCCGGTTTTTTCGAAAAATCTAAAACTTTTTGAAAAAAAATATAAAAATATAAATTTTGAATATTATTATATAAAATTTTCGAAATTTTTAAAATTTTGAAAATCCGAGATAGCAGTTTGATAGCGCGGTCAATTCTGAATCCTTTCATGCAAAGAAATTGGATCTAGCTTAAAAACTGAGCTCTTGGGAGCGATTGCCGTGGTTCAATGTTTTGCGTCGAAATCGGACGAACATGACGTCACTCTGACGTCATTTCCGGCCGACCTATGGTAGCTACGAAGTTTAAATTTTGACACAAGGTGTCAAATTGATGCAGCCAAAGGTACTGAAAGTTTGGCGTCGATACGTCAAGCGGTTTGGAAGTTATTGCAGAAAAACGGGAGGGGGGGCTATAAATAGCCCCCCCCCCAGTGGGGCGCGGGTTAAGGATTTTCAGCCATGTGTGTATCACAGGCGTCGCTACGAACAACTGATGTTTGAGGTCGGAAATACGGTCGTAGGGTCAAATACTACGTCCTACGCCTAGAATCTAGCGTTATCAGTGGTTGAACGTCGAAGTGTGCTTACCATTACCCCTCAGCCGATTTTTAAGCACGAGCGTAAAAATCTCGCAGAAATCGGCAAAGTTGTTCAAGTTCATGCTCGGTGTGTCGCATCAGGGTTAGGCGTTTTCGATTCATTGCCTATGTCACCGACTTCACCAACCACCCAAAAATACGAAATCCTTCATCGGTAACGGCCTCCTGTGCGAAATAGCATAGCGCTCAACTGAAGCAGCCACCACCCTCCTCAGGTAACACTCGCCGTGTCTCGTTATACCACCGTGTATTGCTGCGGCCCGCTGCCGAGGCGACTGTTAGCGATCACCGCCGATCCATTCACGGACCTCCCCCCCCCCACCCACCCGCGTGCTCCAACCACTCAGCAGAATAAGCTCCCGTCCGCGCATCGCGGCCGCTCCCGCCACCGCCCGCGCGCAGACACGCCGCCGCCAGCGCGCGCACCGCACGCCACCCGAAGCTAAGCTACGGCACAACAAAGCACGGCACGCTACCGCCGAACCCCGGACGTCACACACGTGACGTCACAGATACACACACAGACACACACACACACACGGACACCGTCGCTGCGTCCACCGCGGCGACACTCGGTCGCTGAAAGCTCGGCGGTGGATCAGATCCCCGGTGACCTCAGGCACTGGACAGGCACAGACACAGACTCTGGCAGTGGACAGGCGAGCTAGCCGGCCTCCGCCGCATCGTCCTCGTCATCGTCTTCGTCGACCACGCGCTTACGGCGCTTCTTGGCGGGCCCGCGGCCGCGCCTAGGCCGGACCTCCTCCTCGGGTTCGTCTGTGGAGGGCGGAGAAGGGTCAGACGACAGTCAGATAGCTTGAGTCGAACTAGCCGGAGAGAGAAGGGTCATTTAGGATGGAAGAAGAAAATGAAGACCGCTGCGGAAGCATCAGACGATAAGTGTCTCGGAATGACTTGACTGGCAGGTCACAAGACCCGACAGAACCAGTCCCGAAAATATTGTATCCTGAAGAATGGTGCTATAACAGAAAAAACCGCAACCCCGCTTAAAAACTCCCCTGAATTCATGTTAGCAGTGACGTGCAATTTTTATTGCTACCAGACACCGAAGCCAGAGGAGAGGAGTACAGAGGAGTCGCCCCCAACCGCCTGCCCCTCCACTTCCTTCCCTAGTTACTGACTGACCTGCGTCAGCGCTGGGCGGCTGGGCGAGGTACTGGTCGGCCTGGCGTCTCGCCGAGTGGTACACCCGCTCCAGAACGATACTGTCCTCGTAGATCAGCGACGATTCCTCGTTGTACTGCTGTGCGTTCTTACACATGAGCATAATGTCGCCGGCTAGATCGTCCAGATCGCCGTACTGGCGGCAGAGGCAGGTTAGAGGTCGGGTCACGCAAGGTCAGATGTCAGGTCAGTGCAGGTCAGACAAAAAAAAATTCGAGATTGGGACAGATTAGAGGTCAAAGCTTAGGTCAGGTCTTGGGGTATGGCAGTCAGAGTTCAGAGGTCTGTGCAAAGGTAGAAGGCAAGGGCAGGTCAGGGATCAAAATCCCAGGTCATATAAGGTAAGGGGTCGGATCAGATCAAAGATCAGGGCAGAGGAGAGGTTAGCAACTTTAGAAGACAGGACAGGTAAGTCTTTGGAGAGGGTTACGGGTCAAAGGCTGACCAGAAACCGGGCCAGGTCAGGTCACACCACAATAAAGTACCGCAGACAAGTGAGAAAAAAGCAAATGGTATAATAAATTACTTGGAAACCGATGGATTTTACCAATAGAAACAAAGGAGAATGCATTTTATGGATAACTTTAAAAAGTACTCTACTTATCCGAATGACCTTAAATCCTGCTCCACGAATGCTTTACTAGAAAAAACTGGTTTCGCGAGTAAAAGTCGTTTGAGAGCACGCCAAACGAACACTAATGTTGAAATAGCAAGCAGCTTGGTGCGGAAGCAAAGTGCATGATGTCAAATTTAACTACCTATTGATAAGCAAATGAGCGTCTATATTCCGACAGCAACTTCCTTGCATCGGCTCATGTGCTAACATTTGTAGCCAGACAGACTTCCTTCTTTCATCACCTTTAAGTGTCATGTCCCAGTCGTGTTACGACAAAAATACAAGACCCATTAATTATTAAACTACACAACAACCGAGGTTCAACACAACATACGAGGATGCAAAACCACCGTCAATTAAAGGGACCCTCCCACCTTAACATTAGTTTTGAGTTGAGATAGCCAAGTTTGCGGCCAGGCTCAGAAACCACCATTTATCCTGGTCGCTACCCCCGCAGCTTTATAGTGTTCAAGAAATTTCTTCCCTTTACTTGCAGGGTGGGACCAGCGTAGTCCCTATCTCTTAACACTAACGGACTCTGATGACGTCATCAAGCCCATTGACCGCGCGTTATAAAATAAAAGTCTTATATTTCAAAAACGGGTGAATATTTTTCGGTGAAATTTGGTAGATGTTCCTTTTCGCTCTTTCTGATTCACGGTACACCACTTTTATGCCTATTCATTAACTTTTTTAAGGTGGGAGGGTCCCTTTAAATCATCCTACCGCAGTGAGATAATAATAATTACCTCTCACTCTACCCGCGCCCGAACTCCCATCGCAACCATCCAACCTCAGACTAGAAACGCCGCCCGCTTTCATACAGCTCTGGTACTCCGGTAGAGACATCCGAGCGGCCGCCGCGAGCGTGCCTGGCCTCCCAGATAATCCCCGGGCCGGCTCACATTGCATAAACAGTCCCCACCGGCCGGGCCGGTATGGCCGCCGTGAGCCCCGCTTCCTGGCAGAGCCACCCCGGGCCGGGTCGGGTCGGGTCTGGTTCGACGGGTCTCTAACGCTGAGCGCCGGGCGTCGAGAGGCCGCCGGCCATCGAGAGCGA